TATTATCCAAATGCTAATCACTATTACCTCACACCGATTGGGAGTGCATACTTGGTGCGACTGCTTAAAAAGCATACACAGGCAGTACTAATAGTATACTAACTACTGGCCTTAGTAAGCATGATTACTAGGATAAGCACTTCTAGCATAGGCACGTAGCCATATCAGCATCAACTTAGTCCGTACAGCTCGACGGATCGAGTTGAGAGTGCAGAAACCAAGGCAAACGCAGCTTTGCTCCGGACCCCAAGCATGTACTTACCCGAAATAGTTAAGCCTAGGTTCACATTCCTTATTGAGACCAAGGGGAAATGAGCCCTAGCTTTGGCTTAGTCAGCGTCACCTCTGAAAAATGGTGGCGTCAGTGCTAGCATCAGTATTTCTACACTTATTGTAGAAAGTGAAGGGATATGAGCCCAGTGCTGACTTTAATCAGCGTCACTTCTGACTTCCAAAACAGTCAGTAAATGTACCAGCAAACACTATCACACAGCTAAACCCTAGTTAGTAGCATTATAAATGGCAGAAGTGGTGTCAGCAGTACCGGTCCTGACTGGCTAAAGTCTGGCTAGACACCTACTATATGTGAGTAAGGGTAGACAGCGCAGTAGTACCCGCCCAAATTCTACTGTCACTAAATACTAAGTTATGCGGTGTTTCTGGCTGCGGCCGGCTCGGTCATCTCGACTTTATCTTGTCACCGTTTGATGCAGTTGAGAGGTTTTAGAGTGCGGTAAATGGCGGCGCGTCTACTTTCACTATACCTTACCACAGTTACCGTCCATGCTCTCGGGCAAAATGGTACACATCTTCGCTTGCGATGGTCGAACTAACACACAACCCCAAGTTAGGGCCCAGTCGCAGTCTCTGTTGGCATCAGCGCTTGGCTCGGGAGCTGGACCTGTCTATTGAAACAGCCTTTCGGATCCAGATATAACGCAGCTAGTGTTTGTCACGAACATTAAGTCAGCAATTCGTGGTGACAGTCTGGACATTAATTGATGCAGGAATAAACAAAATTATCTGTCGCACTTCCTCCTACATCAGACGTGAAAAACGCCCATCATGCCACTTAGTCACACACACTACAAAAAGCCTTTGTAACTGTGGTAAACTGCAGACAGGTAGATGAAGGTGAATACAAACCTCCTTGCTCCGAACTGTCTGCTGATAGGCTGTGATACAACTGAGCAGCACGTCGTTCATACTTGTCAAGTTGGCAAGATCCTCAGCAGTGAGCTCGGTGGAATTTCCATTTACATTTGAGCTAATAAGTACCTGCACCTTATTCTGCAGGAATCGCAGACGTTCAGCAATGACCTGAATAGAGAAAACAACAGTAACATTAGACTGCGTAGAGCCTA